GCGGCGGTGCAGCTGCAACTGTGTGTGCAGGCCGGGAATGCTGGAGGTGGTATGGAGGCGGCTCGGTGGGCGCACTCTGTCTCGTCCCTGCTCTTTCCCTTCCTCGCTCACACTCTCTCTTTCTCTTGTCCAGACGTGCTTCATCTGCCCTCTCCTTCTCTTTTCCACGGACAGGGAACAGTAATACTTTCTCTCTTGTACTCTCGAAAGCTCCGTTTGTCGCTCACTCTCGCTCTTTTCACTGAATCGTCCGCCGCTCTTCCGTCTCTCTCGCACTCGTCACCTTTTCACTACCTCTCTCTCGTCGTTCTTTCCCCGTTACTCACAACCGCATCGTATCTTCCATCCTTCTTCGATGATTCAGTCAGACCTACCGTTTATCTTCCTCTCGTTCAAACCTTCTCTCTCCCTTTAATTTCTTCTTTCTCCTCCTCGTAGTTTCGTCATCCCATCTTGGTTCCACTCTAGAGCTCTCCCCGCAACTCTAGTACCCTCTCTGTTCTCTGTACGTTAGCCTCTATCGCGCTACCTTTACGCCATCTTCCTCCCACCCTTTGTTAACCTCCTGTTTTCCCTCTTCGTTTCGTTCGTTTCTGTCTCTTTGCCGACCCTATCTCACTCTATCTTTCTTTCGTCGCATATATTATATATGCGCTCTTTATATGTATTTCGTTACAGCTTCCCTCGACGTTTTAGCTCGACTCTATTTCTCCATCATCCTCGACTTCCTTCTTTCTTCCGCCGCTATTCTCCCAAGCATTTCTCTCCTCGACCTCTCGTTTCTTCGTTCATCGTGACTTTCTTCTTTCCGCAAGTGGACGAAAAAACGGCCAACTATCATCCGTAATTGGGCAAAGACGAGAAAAAGAGAAACGAGATAGGGTAGAGAAGTATGAGAAAGAAAGAAAAAAACATAGCCAAGGGTGGCCAGAAATAGTTCTCTCTTTCTGTCTCGCTTCTTAGTCCGTGTGCACTATCTTTGTTCAAGAGCAGCATCCCTGTTCCGTTTCTCTTCCTCCCGCTCTTGTCCTTCATCCTCCCCCACCAGGAACTGTCCATCTCTGTTCAACTCGATCCATTCCTCCCTCTCTCCAGTTCCATGACCCCTTCCCTTTCGCGTGGAGTCGCTACGAGTTCAGGGACGATCCGTTTTCAGTCGAGACCCTGGATCTAACGCCCCGAGGGATACCAGAAATAGCGACTTTCTTCTAGCGCCAGGGATTTCATCTTTTTATGCTTGCGCGTTACGGGATTCGGAATATAGATTTGTGGAGCGTGACAAATTGCCGATAAGAAAGAATCATTCGCGAGAAAAGATCTTTTTAATAAGGAACAATCTTGTCGAAGGAATAAGACAATTGGAATTCCATTAGTTTATTATTAGTATTAAGTATTTCGTTGGTTTGTTGGAAACGAATTTTTTTTTTTAAGTTGACAAAAGCATTTCTGAATTTAGCGATAAAGCAAAAAAAAGTTATCAGTTATAAAATAGATAAATAGTCGACGACGATAAAACGATTCGAATAATCGATAATTTGAATCACTCTGCAAGTTCGTGAAATATTACGTAAGCAACGTCTCTGAAAATTACGCATCGTTGAACCGCAATGAACCACGATACATCCCTGAGCTAGGTACCATCGAGGAAGAAAGAGAAGCGATGAAAATGGCAAGTATGTCACGATAAGAACGACAAGGAGAAGAGGAGCAAACCTTCTGGATGCTAGAGCACTTGAAGAAGCGGAATACTTTAGAAGAAGATGGGCATAACTTACAGGACGAGGAAGAATGACCCTCAGTACCGTAACAAGCAAACGAATGATAAAAAATTCAACTAAAATATCGCACGTCCGTTACCGCTACTTACTTGTAGCTGTATCTCCGCTCACTTGTTAAATACAATACGTAATAAACGTAAAAAACGTATCGAATAAATAATCTCCTTATACGTTTAAATAATACTTTTATCAAAATTTCATTTAAGAATGATTTTCTTACTTTGATTTCATAATTATCTATACGCGATATTAAACGATCAATCAAATAATTATCTTAAACGATATTAACTAACCTCTATTTCGTTGCTATATCGTTCCAAACGATATCTTCGAGAAAGGTATCTTCTAAACACAGAAATCGAATTGTTAATCAACTCCGATTGCCCGACACTCACAAAAACTTTGTACATTCATTTATATTTTCGTTTGTAAAACATTTTTGTATAAAAAATAACGACACAACGACACAAAATTGTTACAAAATTCGATTATAAAATCGAAACTAAATGACAAGAGCGCAGCGCCACCAGTTAGGGCGGCACTGGCGTGAACCACGAGAGAAAGAGACAGACGCAGGAGAGACACGTGATGCTGGAACGTGTGTTAGTCATGGGTTGCCCATGGCAACCCACGCGGCTAATGTACGCGGGTACAGGCCGTACTCGTTCAGGACAACGCTGCCTGTACACGTACGGGAAAAGCGTACGTATAGTATACGTAACTCTGTAGGTTGTACTACGCGTACTACTACCCGCTTGTACAATGGAAAACGGGAGGTCAGGTTCGTGTGCGTCCACACACGTGGCCGAGTTAATTGATTTCACCTCCGCGTTCGTTGCCACGATGTTGCTATTCGATCGAAGCACGCAACGAAACCGCGTTATCGTCGTCTACGTGCGCCACGTCGCGACATCCTGACCACCGAATGGAGATCTTTCGGTCACAACACACCCTCTATGTAAAGAGGTCGGCGAATGAAACAGGGTATATACAATATCGAGTCTGGCATTGAACTGGAAAACGATGCTCACGTTCTCGTGCTTCCCGTGCAATTTTGTTTCTTTTTTTTTCGAATCGTTCGACCGTGATGACGGTATGCCATTGGACGTTGCCAATATTGAAATATCAATCGTGGCATCGATTTCATTATGTATTCCGCCGCTTTTTCGAATATATATTTCGACTTTATGTATATTTATTTATCCTTCGTGAAAAAGAACAAGAATAATTTTGTCGAATTATTGCAAATTCTTATCTTCGTACTCAACTCAAAATTATTAAATCAATCCGAAAAAGAATTCTTCTCTTCTCAATTTGCGCGAATGTTCCATTTTTTCTTTATTCATCAGCATTCATACTGATGTACGTGGTCACGTATCCAGTTAGGAATAATTATCCGTGTCCAGAGAATTCGAACTCTGTTTTAACGGGCGAAGAATTCGGGCTAGCCAGCGAGGAGAATGCAGTCGTACCGGCATGGCAGTTGCATCCTGGCACAATTGTATTGTGCGCACCAATTAACAGCGCTCATGCCGTAATCCGGGATATCGTGGTGCATGCAAAATGCATTCTACCAGTCCCGCATTCTCGCCGCTACCTGGAAACGGACGATCGTTATCGCTTGATTATCGGTCGATGGTAATAGCAGTTTTTCGAGAACCGCGTCAGGAAGAAGGCTCTCGATAATTCAGCTTACTACGATCGTTTCCAGAAAACGAGGATCGTTTCTCTGATTACGTAATGCGCTTATTAAATCGTTTAATGCCGGAAAAGGAGAAAGGGGGGATGCTCGATTATCGCGTTTCGAAAATCGAGGTCGAGATGGATTTCAAACAATCCTCTTTAATTGCATAATTTCAAGTTTTTGTATCTTATATTTTGGAATAATTCGCCTCGAATAATAATACGGATAATACTTCGGTTAATTGGAATCTTAATCGTTACACGAGTATTTTTGATTAAAGCACGTGTGCGAAATAGTCGCAAGATTGCAATCTGGTAAAAAATTTTTATCTCTTGCATTTTCATAATTCTTAACGAACCCGATATTACTAATTATTTAATACGAGGTACACGCAATTAAAGAGAAAAGAATAGAATGCGCTCGATTCAACGATTTTAGATCAGATTAAGCGGAAGAAACGTATCTTCTCAACGCCGTTAATAAGTTAGATTTCACGCTCGATACGTTACGTTTCCTCGAATCTCATGTATTTTTCATTCCTTTATTCGCGTGTTCCTCTTTCCGTTATATATAAAAACTGGGATACGAAAAAATTTCACCAAGCTAACTCGCAACATTCGCAATATCATCGCTTCAAACTGTATAAATTCTCACGATACTCTATCTAATTTCCATCTCTATCAACGTATACCAACAACCGTTTATTATATATATATATATCAAATCGTTGTCCAATCATCCGAGCCGATCCAATTCTCACCGATCGCGTCTCTCTCTAAAATCTCGCCTCTCCAAAAAAAAAAAGAAAAAAAGGTTATTCCCCTTCCTACGAGAGAGAGAGAGAGAACGCTATCTCGCGTCGTTGGAATTATTCTGGAAAGTCCAACAACCAGGCCACAGAGAGGGAAGCGCGCGCATGTGTAAAGGAGGCCCGGCACAGCGACGAGGGGACCGGGCGGATCTCGACGAAGAAAGGAAACGCGGAGCGAGACACGAAGCGAGCAATTGTGCATTAAATTGAAACAGGCCACGAGCGAAGCGTTCC